TGCTTGAACCCGGGAGGCGGAGGTTGCAGTGAGTGGAGATTGTGCCACTACACTCCGGCCTGGGTGACAAAGCAAGACTCTCTTAAAAAAGCTGGGTGTGATGGCATGTGCATATAATCCCAGTTACTCAGGAGGCTGAGGTGGGAGGACTGCTTCAGCCCAGGAGGCCGAGGCCGCAGTGAGCTATGATTATGCCACTGCCCTCCAGCCTGGGCTCAAGACCCTATCTCAAAAGAAAAAAGAATCAAAAGTAATTCCCTTAAAGTTTATAGGCTGTACTATTCACAACAGCAAAGACATCTAATCAAGGACTGGATAAAGAAAACGTGGTACATATACACCATGGAATACTATGCAGCCATAAAAAAAGAATGAGATCATGTCCTTTGCAAGGACATGAATGGAGTTTGAGGGCATTATCTTTAGCAAACTAACACAAGAACAGAAAACCAAATACTGCATGTTCTCACTTATAAGTGGGAGTTAAATGATGAGAACACATGGTCGCATAGAGCGAATCAACACACTGGGGCCTATCGAAGGGTGGAGGGTGGGAGGAGGGAAGGGAGCAGGAAAAATAACTGATGAGTACTAGGCTTAATATCTAGGTGACATACAACAAACTGCCATGACACAAGTTTACCTATGTAACAAACCTGCACATGTACCACTGAATATAAGTTTAAAAAAATTAAAAAAGAAACATTATATCGCTAAAAAACAAAACAAAACAAAACAAAACAAAAAAAGTTCATAGGCTGCAAACTGGCATCTCCTTGGACAACTGGAACATTTAACATGACTTGCATAGAATTTTAAAAATCAAAGGGCTGGGCACGGTGGCTCATGCCTATAATCCCAGCACTCTGGAAGGCCGAGGTGGGTGGGTCACCTGAGGTCAGAAGTTCAAGACCAGTCTGGCCAACGTGGTGAAACCCAGTCTCTACAAAAATTAGCCAGGCATGATGGCAGGTGCCTGTAATCCTAGCTACTCAAGAGGCCGAGGCAAGAGAATCACTTGAAACCAGGAGGCGGAGGTTGTAGTGAGCCAAGATTGCACCATTGCACTCCAGCCTGGGGTGAGAGAGTGAGATTCTGTCTCGGGGGAAAAAAAAAAAAAGAGAATTTAAAAAATTTTCCAGCCTATTTTGACAAAATCAGGAGCTATGGCAACAAATGGCTGGAGCTGGGTTGCTACCACATCTGTTCCGGTTTGCCACAGTCCTCTCTGCTTCTTAATATTTCAAATCTAGATTGCTTCACTTATTTGTAAGACCTGAATGACCTCTGTAAGCTTTTGGATTTGTAATCCTATAAATCAGCAACCTAATGATAATAAAGCTACCATTTCACTGGGTTCCTGGCCCGCCACTTTACACAGACTGTCTCAGTTATTTCTTACAATATCTTTTGAAGGCAGGCATTATTATCATCCATGTTTGATCACTGAGGATCACATGAGCCCAAGTCACATAGTCAGTCTGCATGACTATATCTATCAACTCCCAAGTTCTCTATCTGTGCTAGTTTGCCTCTGGTTATGATTTTGTTCATTTAACAAACACATAGTACAGTTACTAAATTAATAAGTTTACAAATACTACCTTGCTCATCTAAATAACAATCCTGTAAGAACAAATATCTGTAAGAAATTGCCTTTTTACAAATCAATATTATAGATATTGGCAATTTCATATGGTTCAACTTAATACTTATTATTATCATCCCCATTTTATAAAAGAGGAAACAGCCACAGGAAATTAAGTAACTTGTCCAGAGCCAAGCCCAGATTAAAACCCAGCAGGCAGGCCGGGCGCGGTGGCTCACGCCTGTAATCCCAGCACTTTGGGAGGCCGAGGCGGGCGGATCACGAGGTCAGGAGATCGAGACCATCCTGGCTAACACGGTGAAACCCCGTCTCTACTAAAAATGCAAAAAATTAGCCGGGCGAGGCGGCGGGCGCCTGTAGTCCCAGCTACTCGGGAGGCTGAGGCAGGAGAATGGCGTGAACCCGGGAGGCGGAGCTTGCAGTGAGCAGAGATCGCGCCATTGCACTCCAGCCTGGGCGACTAAGCGAGACTCTGTCTCAAAAAAAAAAAAAAAAAAAAAAAAAAAACCTAGCAGGCTGGTTCTAGAGTTTTGTTCCTGACCAGCATATTCAGCTGCCTCTCATCACAAAAGGTAACTTTGCACATTGTGGCAGCATCAGATTATCAAACAGCTAAAGTTTTGGACTGATGATTCTCCTGGAGGGTACCTCAAAGTACTGAGGCCAGAGACATATTTGTGTCCCCCAGGATGACCCCTACCTGCACTGGTCCATTCATGAGACTTTCCCAGTGCTGAGGTGAGATGTACTTCTGCAGGTACTGTTCCCGTAGGACACCGCGCATGGTGCACTCCAGGGTCTTGGCTCCTTCATGAAGCTCTTGCTCTGACTCCTTCATCTGTGTCATGATCTGCCAAGAAGAGAGGGAAAGAAATGATGAGGAAATATCATCATCCCCCAAACTCAGTCCTCACCTTGAGGGAAAACAAAGCTAAGACAGGACAGTAAGGAGGGAGAATAAATAGACTGGTCAACAAACCAATTTCCCAAGGCACATTATTGTGGTCTTGAAACCAAAGAACTAGTATCGGCCGGGCGTGGTGGCTCATGCCTGTAATCCCAGCACTTTGGGAGGCTGAGGCAGGTGGATCACTTGCGGTCTGGAGTTCAAGACCAGCCTGGCCAACATGGCAAAACACCGTCTCTACTAAAAATGCAAAAATTAGCCGGGCGTGGTGGTGAGTACCTGTAATCCCAGTTACTTGGGAGGCTGAGGCACAAGAATTGCTTGAACCCGGGAGGTAGAGGTTGCAGTGAGCTGAGATGGTGCCACTGCACTCCAGCCTAGGTGACAGAGTGAGACTCCGTCTCAAAAAAAAAAAAAAAAAAAAAAAAATCAAAATCTCTGAAAGATTCCTACCAATCAGTAAAAAAAGAAAACAAGGAATGCAGTTGAATATCCCTTATCCAAAATTCTTGGGACTAGAAGTGTTACAGATTTTGGAATATTTGCATTTATACTTACTGGTTGAGCATCCCAAATCTGAAAATCTAAAATGTGAAATAATGTTGGGCAGGGCGCAGTGGCTCACACCTGTAATCCCAGCACTTTGGGAGGCTGAGGCGGGCAGATCACCTGACGTCAGGAGTTCGAGACCAACCTGGCCAACATAGTGAAATCCTCTCTACTAACAATACAAAAATTAGACAGGTGTGATGGCAGGTGCCTGTAATCCCAGCTACTCAGGAGGCTGAGGCAACAGAATGACTTGAACCCAGGAGGTGGAGGTTGCAGTGAGCTGAGACTGTGCCACTGCACTCCAGCCTGGGCGACTGGGCAAGACCCTGTCTCAAAAAAAAAAAAAAAAAAAAGAAAAAAGAAAAAAAATAATGTTGGCATTCAGAAAGTTTTGATTTTGGATTTTCTGATTTGAGATTCTCAACCTACACAACAGAAAAACAAACAGGCCAAGAATACTGTGGCAGAGACTTCAAGCTTCACAATATCTGTTCTCTCTCTTTTCCTTAGTAATAAGAATCCAGATTTTGATTGGGGACATTGCTGCCCAGCTAAAAGATGACATTTCCCTGGTCAGTTGGCTCTACATAGAGGTGCTGTGGGTGGTATGGGGGAAGGAGCCTTAAGGAAGGGTGGGATGGGCAGTGTGTCCTTGTCTTTTCTCCATCTTGGATTGTGAAGACAAAGGTCATACCAAAGGATTAGCAGAATACAATGCTGAAAGGAACCTGGGTCCTCCAGAGCTTTGAGGAGCCTCTACATCTACCCTGGGCTGCCTACGCAGAAAGCCACTGCTATCTTGTTTAGGTCCCTCATTACCTCAGATATTTCAGAGCTGGGACTTACACTCATGTAGGCCCTTCGGAGGTGCATGGGGAGGTTGCGGCGGAATTCCCGCTTGTTCCTCAGCTCCCTTAGGGTGAACTGCTTCAGGATTTCACTGTTGCTCCTTCCACCCACCCGCACAATGCTGGTCTTCTGACACTTGTAGATGCCTGTGGAGCAAAGTGGAGTACGGCAGAGTTGAAAGGAGCTATGCTAGGTTCTCTCAGGTGAGAGCTGTGTGTATTTGGGATCTAGTCTGGTTCCTTAGAGAACACACTTGTGCTTAAAGGAAATTTACCCCATTAATGAGTGAGAAGGTCCCCGAGAAGATGTGACCTGCAGAGCAGTAAAGTATAGCGCTTAAAGAGTACAAGTTCTGCAATCATACAACTAGGAATCTAATTCTTAGCTCTACCACTTATTGCTGTGTAACCTGGGGCAAGTTACTTGAGTCTCAGTTTCTCTGTCTATGATTTAGAGATGGCAACATCTCCCACATAGGGCTACAGTCTGGATAAATGAAAGAAAATCTTTAAAGCTCCTAGCTAGGGTCCAGCACAAAGCAAGCATCCAGGAGATGTTACATATTTTTCACTCTGCAGATTTACTGATTGTTCGAATGTTCTAGGCATGTGCCAAGTTCTGAAGATATAGCAGTAGAAAAACGGGCCCAGTTTCTGATTTGTTATCATTTCTTTGTCTCTGGCAAGAAGTTACTCATTAAATAATCAATACGACAGCAATAAATGTAGTGAGTACTGGTAGCAGGGGACATCACCTAGTCTGGGTGGTGTAGGGATCTATTCTTAAGAATCTAATATTTAAACTCAGACTCTAAGAATAAAGATTTATCTAGGTGAAAGGGCAGTATAGAAGAATGAAAAATACAGGAAAAGTATATTCATTCATCCATTAATGTTACTTAGTAGTTTTTGAGTGCCTAATATGTGCCAGGATATGTGAATACAGCAAGAAAAGGACCAATCCTCATCTAGGGTAGAGATACATAAAATAGATTATAAAAAAATAAAAAATGCAAAAGAGACTTCACTTCAGGGCTACAGAAAAAGTCTACCTGAGAAGAGAGATTTAAAGTGGGACTAGAAGAATGAGTAGGGCCAGCCAGGTTGAATAAGCTCAAGATGGAGAGGGAAAAACTATTCCAGGCACGAGGATGGCATGGGCCAATGGAGGACATAGAGGCTTTCAAGGAACTGAAGATAACCAGTGTTGCTGGAGTTAGGGAGAACAAGATTAAGAAGTAGGAGCTGTGGTTCACAGTCCAGCTGGGACAGATCACAAACAGCCATGTAAGTGATGATAAGGACTGTCAACTTTGTTCGAAGAGCCATAGAAAGCTACTGGGTTGCTGATGGTTCAATCATCAACATCTTGATAGAGAGCAAATTTGCCTATAAATATTACCTTCCAGAAACTGGTCCAAAGCATGATTAGTATAACACACAACCAAGATGGGGAACTTCTGGAGGCTAATTTGCCAAACAGACTCGTTGGTTAGGAGGGCCTGAACAATTTTTAGACCCACATAGGTTTTGCCTAGAAAATAAGGAAAAAGGAATTTAATAATTTAGATATTTTCTAAATAAAGTAATTAATTACTTAGAGCAAAATCTTGTTTTTTAATTTAATACATTAAGATAGTTTAAAATCTAAGAAGCATACATGGTATATTGTGAAAAGTCCCTCTTGTACTCTGTCACCCAGTTCTCTGGGTGGAAGCAACCAATGTTACCAGTTTCTTTTGTAACTTTACAGTGGTAGTATATCCATGTATATACAGACAAATACAAATGTATATTCTTTTTCTAGCCTTCCCCTTTTCTCCTTAAAATAGTAATAGTAACAGACTATTTTCACCATTCTACATCTTGATTTTTTTTCACTTAACTATCTTTTTTTTTTTTTTTTTTGAGACAGAGTCTCGCTCTGTCGCCCAGGCTGGAGCGCAGTGGCCAGATCTCAGCTTACTACAAGCTCCGCCTCCCGGGTTCACGCCATTCTCCTGCCTCAGCCTCCCGAGTAGCTGGGACTACAGGTGCCCGCCACCTCGCCCGGCTAGTTTTTTGTATTTTTTAGTAGAGACGGGGTTTCACCGTGTTAGCCAGGATGGTCTCGATCTCCTGACCTCGTGATCCGCCTGTCTCGGCCTCCCAAAGTGCTGGGATTACAGGATTGAGCCACTGTGACCGGCCACTTAACGTATCTTGAAAAAGGTTGTTCTCTATCAATACACAAGAGAATCTCGTCCCGTCCCCCGTTTTCTTTTTACAGCTGTAAGGTAGTTTTAGTCAGTTTTCTATTGATGACATATATGTTGTTTCCAATCTTGCAGCAAATTCTTTAGAAATACTTTTTATATACATGGTAGATTTGCTTTTGTGATGGGAGGGGAAAACTTGTAGAAATCAACATTGGAATGAGTTACAGGCTCATTAGTAAATAGCCATTCATTAATTAATTAGACTAAAAACTGCTGCATTCTTTTTTTTTTTTTTTTTTGAGATGGAGTTTCACTCTTGTTGCCCAGGTTGGAGTGCAATGGTGTGATCTTGGCTCACCACAACCTCTGCCTCCTGGGCTCAAGCGATTCTCCTGCCTCAGCCTTTCAAGTAGCTGGGACTACAGGTGCGTGCCACTATGCCCAGCTAATTTTTGTATTTTTAGTAGAGACAGGGTTTCACAATGTTGGCCAGGATGGTCTTGATCTCTTGACCCTGTGATATGCCCGCTTCGGCCTCCCAAAGTGCTGGGATCACAGGCGTGAGCCACCATGCCTCGCCTGCTAAATTCTCACATTGTGTCAGGCTGGTAAGGTAGACACTGTCCTCAAAAATCTCCTGCCTCAGCCTCCCGAGTAGCTGGGACTACAGGCGCCCGCCACCTGGCCCGGCTAATTTTTTATATTTTTAGTAGAGATGGGGTTTCACTGTGTCAGCCAGGATGGCCTCGATCTCCTGACCTTGTGATCCACCTGCCTCGGCATCCCAAAGTGCTGAGATTACAGGCGTGAGCCACCGCACCCAGCCAACTGTATAATGGTTTTAGTAATGGTTTCTATTTCACAAGGTTGTGAGGATGCAATTAGTTAACATATGTAAAGCAAGCAAAATATTGCTTCACACATAGTGCTATTATATATTTGATACTATTTACTTTAAAATAATACAAAATAGAACCAATTATATAAAGCAGAGATCACACATCTCACTACATTTGACCTCTAGCAGTCCTGTATCTATTACTATGCATGACGATGGGTTCCTATTGGAAAATCCCTATAACCAGCTACTTTATAAACAATTTTTATGCCCATTTCGGGAGGAATGTTATTAACTAGACATTCTATTGCAACAAAACCAAAAACGGACAAGTGGTACCTAATTAAACTAAAGAGCTTCTGCACAGCAAAAGAAACTATCAACAGAATAAACAGACAACCTACAGAATGAGAGAAAATATTTGCAAACTCTGCATCCATCTAAGGTCTAATATCTGGAATTAAATAACCCCATTAAAAAATGAGCAAAGGACATGAACAGACACTTCTCAAAAGAAGACATACACATGGCCAAAAAGCGTAAGAAAAAAATGCTCAACATCAACATCATTAATTATTAGAGAAATGCAAATCAAAACCACAATGAGATACCATCTCACACTAGTCAGAATGGCTACTATAAAAAGTCAAAAAATAACAGATGCTGGCGAGGTTGCAGAGAAAAGGGAAAGTTTATACACTGCTGGTGGGAATGTACATTAGTGCAGCCACTGTGGAAAGCAGTTTGGAGATTTCTCAAGCAACTTAAAACAGAAATGCCATTTGACGTAGCAGTCCCAATATTGGGTATATAACGGGAAGGAATATAAATCATTCTCCCATAAAGACACATGCATATGCATATTCATCGTAGCACTATTCACAATAGCAAAGATATAGACTCAACCTAGATGCCCAACAATGGTGGACTGATTAAAGAAAATGTGGCATATATACACCATGAATACTATGCAGCTATGAAAAAGAACAAAATCATGTCCTTTGCAGCAAAGTGGATGGAGTTGGAGGCCATTATCCTAAGCAAATTAATTAAGGAACACAAAACTAAATACCACATGTTCTCACTCATAAGTGGGAGCTAAACATTGAGTACACATGGACACAAAGAAGGGAACAGGCACCAGGGCCTACTTCAGGGTAGGGTGGGAGGAGGGTGAGGATCTAAAAACTACCTATCAAGAGCTGAGTGCAGTGGCTCACACCTGTAATCCCAGCACTTTGGGAGACCAAAGTGGGTGGATTACCTGAGGTCGGGAGTTCAAGATCAGCCTGGCTAACATGGTGAAACCCCGTCTCTACTAAAAATACAAAATTAGCTGGGCGTGGTGGCGCACGCCTGTAATCCCAGCTACTCAGGAGGCTGAGGCAGGAGAACTGCTTGAACCCAGGAGGCGGAGGTTGCAGTGAGCCGGAATCGTGCCACTGCACGCCAGCCTGGGTGACAGAGTGAGACTCTGTCTCCAAAAACAACAACAAAAAACTACCTATCAGGTGCTATACTCATTACCTGGATGACAAAATAATCTGTACACCAAACCTCTGCAACACACAATTTACACATGTAACAAACCTGCACAGGTACCCCTAAACCTAAAAGTTGGAAAATAAAATAAATAAGTAAGTAAGAAGACATTCTAGAAATCTAGAGTCAAGGCTCTGTCCCTTGCTTATCTTACAAAGCAGACCTTATGTACTCTGAAACATTTTGTCTTACCTGTTCCAGGAGGTCCTTGAATAATAGCCAGTTCCCTTGTGAGAGCAAACTGCAAAGCTTCCATCTGGGAGTCATCCAGCTTCAGGGCTTCTTTTGAGGGCCACTGGCTAGGATCTAAGACATTAATTCTGGGATGTCTCAAGCCCTCGACATTTCTTAGAAATTCCCCAGTGGCTGAGGGATTCTCTATTAAGGGGGTAAAGTCATATCTGCCCCCCATTAGCAAGTACCTTGGCTCCTTCACATGAGAGTCACACTCCACGATATTCCTCTGAAAAGGGACATCTTCTTCCTGGACCTCCTGGAGTCCTTCCAGGACATGCCTGTAAGCCTCAAAGTATGCAGTTGTCTCCACCATGAGGAAAGAGTCAGAGGGCTGGACTTCTGCTAGCAGCTGTTGGCTCTGCTCATTGAAGCAGAGCTGGACAATTCCTCGACAGAGATCTTCCTGCTCCCTGTTAGATACGGTGGCAAAAAGAAATGTCTCAAAGTTATCCTTGGACATGCATACCAAAGACCCATAGAGCAATCGTTTGGAATTCTGCCAGCGAACAAACTTCAGTGGTTTTGTGTCAAACTGCACCTTGTAGACTATGCCTGATGATGAACACATGGGGGTGATAATCCTGGTGTCAAAGTAGATTCGGATGTCATCAAACTTTCTCTTTCTCAGGCCCTGGTCTTCAAAGCTTTGGAGAAGTTCCAAAATGCCTTCCCGTAAAGGTCTGACGAAATCTTCTCGCAGGAGCCGGAAATGGGTATCCAGATAGACAGCAGTGCTGTCATATTTTCCAGAAATGATATTGGGGCGAAGGAAGGGCCTCTCATCCAAGTGCACTTCATTGTAGGTAGGGTAAATGGGCATGGTTCGGTAGCTCTCAATATGGTCTTCTGCCTCAGGCTGCACTAGAGTGTAAGTATCCACTCTCAAAGTGCCCTCTCGCCTCTTTTCCTGCAGATGTTCAATGATAGTCTGTACCTTTTCCAGGTTCTTCTCTGTCTCCTCTTCTATGTCAACACCAGAGGCTCTCAGAGCATTAAGAGAGGTTGGTAGGAGGGAAACCAGCATGGAAGTTTCCTGCACAGAGCTGGCAGGGAAGACACTTACAAGGTCCTGGAGGAGGGAGATGATGTTGCTTATGTGCTCTGGATACTGGTTTCGGATGTCAGGGATGGGTTCAGTGATCATCCCTACCACATAAGCAGGCAGGCAGACTTTGAGAAATTTGGAGTTTTTCAATATGCCCAGTACATGGAGAACACTCTGACGATCCATTTTGGAGCTGCAAGCCTTCCGAAGAACCTGGCATATGAGCTCAAGGAAGTTAGATTTCATGGAAGAATGAGAAAGGAGCTCTTTCAGCCCTAAACTTGTGGCAAGTGTGATGACCACCTCAGAAGGGTCTTTCTGCAGAAGACTTTCTAAGAACTTGTAGCCCAGTTTCTTCGCCTGCTGTGGCTGTTCTGTAGGCTTCTGGTGGGGAGTCCGCCACTGCTGGAAGTTGTCATTGGACCATGGTGGTCTGCGGTTCCTACACTCCTGGTTGCCATTTCTCCACCTGGTGTCATTCTCCTGATCATGTCTTTGGTCTCTAGCTTCGTCACTGGCATGCCCCTCCTGGTTTCTTCTTCCTTGATGTGGGTTCCTGCCCATGGCCCTAAATCTCTCTTCCCTCTGCCAGTAAGCAGCAGGATGGTTGTTGGCCCTAGGATGCCTTCCAGGATGGCTGACTCCTCCTCGGAGAGCACTGGCTGGTGGGTTACTGGCCTGATTTCTAGCTCTTGGTGGTAACTCTCCATCCATAGGGCCTAAACACAATGAAATACTGAGTAACCACAAGAACCAAGTTCTGTTAGAAACCCAACAGAACAACAATGAACATGTTTTCATTTTCCAAAATAACTGAAGAGCTCAGGTTTTATATGATGAGAAAAATGGTTTCTACCAAGCCATATGATAAATGAAAGACAATTATTGTTGCTGTAGAGGTTAGGAAAATATTATTTTTCCAAAAGATGCAAAAGGGAAAAGGAATAAACATTTGCTGAGTATCTGATATGTGTTAGAAAATAAATACATAGGCCGGGCGCGGTGGCTCACGCCTGTAATCCCAGCACTTTGGGAGGCTGATGCGGGCAGACCACGAGGTCAGGGGATCGAGACCATCCTGGCTAACGTGGCGAAACCCCGTTTCTACTAAAAATACACAAAAATTAGCTGGGCGTGGTGGCAGGCGCCTGTAGTCCCAGCTACTCAGGAGGCTAAGGCAGGAGAACAGCGTGAACCTGGGAGGCAGAGCTTGCAGTAAGCTGAGATTGTGCCACTGCACTCCAGCCTGGGTGACAGATCAAGACTCCGCCTCAAAAAAAAAAAAAAAGAAAAGAAATACATACAGTATGTCTCATTGCTTCTAATCTCACCCCAGTACCAAATAACACTCAGAACATGAGTTTAGAGGCCAAACTGACTTGGTTCAAACCTTGGCCTGGCCACTTCCTTACTATATAACCTTCGCCAAGTTGTATAATTTCTCTAAGTCTCAGTTTCTGCGTTTTTTTTTTTTTTTTTAGACGGAGTCTCGCTCTGTCTCCCAGGCTGGAGTGCAGTGGCGTGATCTCGGCTCACTGCAACCTCTGCCTCCCAGGTTCAAGCGATTCTCCTGCCTCGGCTCCCAATTAGCTGGGATTACAGATGTCCGCCACCGCGCCCGGCTAATTTTTATATTTTTAGTAGAGATGGGGTTTCACTATCTTGGCCAGGCTGGTCTTGAACTCCTGACATTGTGATCCACCCACCTCAGCCTCCCAAAGTGCTGGAAGTGCTGGGATTACTGGCATAAGCCACTGTGCCTGGCCGGGTTTTTATAAAGATTAAATGTTTATAAAGTGCTTAGTATAGTACTGGACACATTAAAAACTCTCAAAATGTTAGTTATTACTAGTAGCAGTAATTGGGAATATCCTATTGATTCTAAGGGGGCCACTGGTTCTACCACTAAACAATTATCACAGCCAACAGAGACATCAAGTGAAATAATATTACAAAGGGAAGTACTACCTGAATGCTGTCCAGCATCAGCAAATGCACTTTGAATGGGAAAGAGAAAGGTGGGGTTTCCTTTACTAAGATGTTTTTGAGCTAACGGACTGTGAAAGAAACTGAAAAATGAAACTCAAGTTTTCCTCCTTTCTGTAGCATGAACTTCACCCTCATAGTACTTACCAATGACCAACCCTTACACAGGAAGCCCAGCATACCCAAGTCCAGTTTGTTTCACTTTCCTTTTTGCTAAAACTGATTCAGGGGCTGACCTAACTTAGCAGAATGACATGGAGATTTTAAAAACAAACAAAATATGACTGTATACAATGATTTGATTAAAAAGTTATAAAAGCTCTAAATGCATGTTATATTTGAGATGATTATACCATTTCCTGACATCAGATACTAAATCCATTTATGTACACTTTCCCTTGTTTTGCATTTTGTAGAGAATTTTTTTTTTTAATTTTTTTTTTTTTTTTTTGACAGGGAGTCTGGCTCTGTCACCCAGGCTGGAGTCCAGTGGTACGATCTCGGCTCACTACAACCTCTGCCTCCCAGGTTCACACCATTCTCCTACCTCAGCCTCCCGAGTAGCTGGGACTACAGGCACCCGCCACCATGCCCGGCTAATTTTTTGTATTTTTAGTAGAGATTGGGTTTCACTGTGTTAGCCTGGATGGTCTCAATCTCCTGACCTCATGATCCGCCTGCCTTGGCCTCCCAAAGTGCTGGGATTACAGGTGTGAGCCACCGTGCCCGGCTGAGATTTTAATGTGACAACATAAAGGAATATTCAGTAAAATATAAATGATCTACAACTGAACCCTAAATTTGTACAATTGTAACTCACATATTTACTTTTCAAACTACCCCTAAAATCAGAAGAAAGTACTACTTTTAATCTTTTTATCTGATTAGAAGACGCTATGTCGTGGAAGAATGGAAAATCGTATCATTTATTCTTTCAGCATTCATGGCTGGGTGTGGTGGCTCATGCCTGTAATCCCAGCACTTTGGGAGGCTAAGGCAGGCAGATAGCTTGAGCTCAGGAGTTTCAGACCAGCCTGGGCAACATGGAGAAACTGTCTCTACTAAAAACACAAAAATGAGCCACACGTGATGGTGCATGCCTGTGGTCCCAGCTATTTGGGAGGCTGAGGTGGAATGACTGCTTGAGCCCAGGAGGTCGGGGCTGCAATAAGCCAAGATTGTGCCATGGCAATCCAGCCCGGGCAACAGAGCAAGACCCTGTCTCAAAATATCAAAACAAAAAAACAAACCATTCACATAGCTCATAAGAGCCCATAGTTCTTCCTCACTTGTTGCACAACTAAAACTCTTTGGAAAACACATTGCAAACTTCCGGAAAAACAGGAATCCATTTGGTTGTTCAGTTTTAGAAAGTGTTGAGCAAGCAGAATAATTCCTTTAGTAGAGTGATGCTCTTGGAACTAATTTAGCTCTGGTGACTAGGATTCATGATCTGCACTATCCAATACAAAGCCATTAGCCACATGTGGCTGCTATGTTTGTGAAATGTAACTACTTTGAATTAAGACATGTAAAACACACAGGAGATTTTGAAGGCTAGTACCAAAGACTGTTAAGCATTACATTAAAAATTTTTATGTTGATAGTATCTTAAAATGAGTATTTGAGGGAAATAAATATATGTGAATTATTAAAGTACGATAATAAACTATAGTCAATTATTACAATCAAATGATAATATTTTGGTTATACTGGGTTAAATAACACATTATTAAATTACTAAATTTTATTAAATTGTCATCAAATTTAAAAAATAAATTTCAAGGCCGGGTGCGGTGGCTCACGCCTGTAATGCTAGTACTTTGGGAGGCCGAGGCGGGTGGATCACCTGAGGTTAGGAGTTTGAGACCATCCTGGTCCAACATGGTGAAACCCTGTCTCTACTAACAATACAAAAATTAGCCGGGCATGGTGGCAGGTGCCTGTAATCCCAGCTACTCAGGAGGCTGAGGCAGGAAAATCGCTTAAACCTGGGAGGTAGAGGTTGTAGTGAGCCGAAATCGTGCCATGGCACTCCAGCCTGGGCAACAGAGCAAGACTCCATCTCAAAATAAATAAATAAATAAATAAATAAATTTCATCTGTTTCTTCTTACGTTTTAAAATGATGTTTCTAGAAAATAAAAAATTATGCTCTTGGCTTACGTTGTTTCTGTTGGATGCTGCTCTACACCAAACATTACTTCCCTTTCTGAAACTCTATCACTGTTTTTGTTACAGTGAACTGCATCCATTCATCAGTTCTCTTAGGAAAAGCGGAGGGTTGGCTATTTTTCAGAGTAATTCATGCTGTAATTAAGAAATAAGTCATTCTTTTTTTTTTTGAGACAAGGTCTCTGTCACCCAAGCTGGAGTGCAGGGGCCAGATCACAGTCCAGAGCAACCTCTGCCCTCTGCACCCACCCCTTCCTGAGGTTCAAGGGATCCTCCCACTTCAGCCTCCCCAGTAGCCTAAGTAGCTGGGACTACAGGCACACAGCACCATGTGGCTAATTTTTATATGTTTTGTAGAGAAAGGCTATTACCATGTTGCTCAGGCTGGTCTCAATCGCCTGGGCTCAAACAATCCTCCTGCCTCAGGCTCCCAAAGTGCTAGGATTATAGACTTTAGCCACTGCATCCAGCCATAGTCATTCTTTACTTGAGAGATGCAGATAATCTTAGGTAGGCCTGCTCATTCATAGAGAGCCTGATTTCCTTTTCTTATTACTAGAATTTCCTTCTCATTAGGTAGGAAACCTTGCTTACCTCTGTGGTTGGTATGGGAATTCCTGGGCCTGGCATCCAGATGAGGTCTTCTCTCCTCCATGTCTGAGTCACCTGAATTCCTCCACGTTACTTTCTGTTATCTGGAAAACTGTACATGTTGAGTTATCAGTGTCCTCGAAACACAGCATCTAGCAGCAAAAACCCCAACATCATCAAGCCAGTCCTTCTGCCTTTGTTAACATTTTAATGATTTGTTAACTAAGGGTTAAATACAGATTTTAATCTAGAGCACAAGTGCTCAACTCTGCAAATGCCCAATTATGATATAAAATATTAAATTCACAATTTAGCTGATTTCAAGAGATAGAATTCCCCTTTCTTTCACCCTTGCACTTTCTTGGGGTAGAGGGAATGTCATCAATTCCCATTCAAAACTGCTGTTTCGTTTATGCCTTTAGCCAAGTTACTTAATCAGTTGCTAGGTTTCATTTTCCTTTCCTAAGAAGCAGATAATATTGTTGCCAGGGCAAAAAGGAGTACATTTTTGTTAATCCAAAATCATGTAGTCACCACCCTATCTGGCATTTACAAATCTGCCACTTACATAGTACCCAAATAGCTTGCAGTACCCTATAGTTTATAAATAATTAGTGAGCAGTTATCCCCTTAGCCTACTCTTTGGAATGAAGCCAAATGATTAAGCTCTCTGCTCTACTGAATCAAGAGAAAGAAATTACATGTTTCAATAACCAGGAGGCTTGGCAACTACGAGGTGCTGTTTCCTCAGGACCAACTGGAAATCTGATATTCTTTCTTCCTCCTCATTCTTCTACCTTGATGATTTTTGACACTGCTCCTATAAGAGGAAGAGGAAGCCCCTTTAAGGGAACTTCTCAACCCAACTCATACACATTGTGTGGGCTGGGTCTAAGGAAAGAGTGGGTGACTCAGAGTCCTCAGCAAAGGGATTTTTGAGACGGTCTTCACCGAGTTTTAAAATATTCATACTTGGAAACTGTGACTACATTTGGCATTATATGAGGGGCAGCTTTTATCCTCATCTGAAAAAGGAGTCTCTTTTCTTCCCCATGGGAATATCTCTGGTAACTCCCCTCCCTCATCTTATCAAACCCAGCCCCCCTGGCGCAGGCTCAGTATTTAGAGTTTGTTTGTTTATTTTCAATTCTCCGAGGGGAAAATTCCTTCTTCCCCTGGTTGAAAAATGCTAAAATAGAAACTCCAGAAAATTTAAAGAAACGGAAGAAAAAAAGAAATGTTAAAAAGAAAAGGCAAGGAAAGGAAGGGAGGCGTAGATATGAACAGGAAATGCTGGGATCGAAAACAGACTGAAGTGTTTTTTTGGGGGGTGAATCAAGGCCTAAAGGGCACGAAGAAGAAAATCAGTGATGATCAAGCTGGCCTGGGGTGAGAATGAGAGGGGCTGGTCATCACCAGGGTGGGACACAGGAGGCTGAGGCCGGAGGCAGAGCTGGGTTTGGGGAAAGTCTCCAGGCTCCTGGGGAATCCCACTGTCCCTAATGGAAATGTTATGGGGTCAGGGAGCGCCAAGGCTGTGAGGTGGCGGGGTTATGGGGGCCTCCCGGAGAGGGAGCAGCTGGGGGTTCTTGCTGAGGACGGAGGTGGGGGGCAGGGAGCAGGCTGAAGGGGGTGCCGAGGTGCTTTGTAGAAGAGGGGGATTGATAAGGTGACAGGTGGTGAGGCCGGAGGAATGAGGGGGTGCGAGTGGCAGAAGGGAGGGCACAGACAGGGGTGGGGGTAGAGGAGATCGCAGTGTTGAGGGCAGAAGCGGTGATGGTGTCGGGGGTGCTGGGGAGAGCGACGGGCCAGCTGAGAGGGGATGGGGACGCTAAAGAGAGTACAGGGGAGCCGAAGGGGCGACGGGGCGCTGAGATGGGCCAGGGGCTGAGTGGGTGACGGGGCGCTGAGTAGGTGATGGAGGTCTGGGTCTGAGGAGGCGACGGGGCGCTGAGAGGCGCTCTGAGTGGGTGCTGAAGCCCCCGGGGGCTAAGGAGGTGACAAGGCTGAGTGGGTGACGGGGGTCTGGGGGTTGAGGGGGCGACGGGGCGCTGAGGGGCCAGGGGCTCTGAGCGGGTGACGGGGGCGCTGGGGGCTTGAGAGGGTGACAGGTCTTCCGGGCAGAAGCAGTGGCCGGGCGGCGCGGGCGCCGGGGGTCGCGGCGGGGCAAGGAAGAGGCAGGGGCAGGGGCAGTTGCAGGGCCACTCACCCGGCTCCGGCGCGTCCTTTCACTGCCGCCGGCGAGTGCTGGGGCTTCGGCCCAGGCAGGTCGGTGGCCCCGCCCGGCGCCGCGCACTTTCGGTTTCCGTTCCCCGCAGACCCTGGGCGGAGCCGGGCGGGCGGCCCAGAGGAGGAAAAGGAGGAGGCGGGGGCCCCGGGTGGAGAGCGCGAGGGCCTGGCCCAGGCACAGCCTGCGCCTCCGCCCTCGAGGAGGGCGTCACCTCAGCTCCCCCGGGCGGCGGAGCCGGCCGGCTCAGGCGGGCGCGGTGGAGGGGAGCGGACCGCAGGGGGCGGGATGACTGCGCCCAGAGCCTTTGCGGGCCTCAGCCGGCCCCAGAGGAAGGGGGACCTGTCGAGCGGTTTGGTGTGTGTGAAGCGCGACATGGCGGGGAAGCAGACGAGCCCGGGTGGCCCAGCGTGTACCGGGAAGGGGGCGGGGCTAGATGCGGCCTTGACATCTACTAGAGCGCCTCGGGCTGTGCGGCTCGAGACTACATTTCCCAGGGGGGGCCCGCGCGGAGCGGGCGGAAAAGAGAACGCCTCGGATCCAGTGCGCAGGTGCGAGAGCCATCCTTGGTTATATAAGGGAGGTTTAGGCGCCCGTTCGTTCCTTTGCGTCGGGGGCGCTCGCCGGGTGGTGGTTGTACGGCTTGCAGCCAGGCTTCGTACGCTATCGTCCTGCCCGTGAGTTCCCGTTTTGTGGGTGGTGAGTGGAAACTCCATGTTCTTCGTTGGAGATCCCTGGTCCTCCCTTCCCTTCTTTGTGCCGTCGTGTCCGCGGCCAGCCCTAATCTCCCTCTCGTGGCTTCTCAGGCTCTGATCCCAAACAGGCCTTAAGGGCGTGGGAGAAATGAGTTTATAGAGCTGGAAAAGCCAGTGCCTTCTGCACGGGCCTGAGAAGCCCTTGGCTGGTGTAAATGATGACTTTTCACTTTTTTCCCCATCAGATCGACAATGCTGACGTCTTATATTTTGCCAGTTAGTTCTGATACATCGGCCTCTAAAGGCTTGGTCTTGTTCATTTCTGACCGTGGGAAGATGGCGGTTGACGCCCTTTATTTGTTGGTTCACAGGTTAGAGCAGCCAGCGGGTATAGAATGGATTTTGGAGGAGGGAGTCACCACTGGGCCTCCAAGGAAGCCACGTGCAGACATCTACAACCTTCGATCTCCTGACGAGTAAGACTTTGTCTCCTATGGGCCTACTGTAGAAAACACCTGCTTTGAGAAGCTTTAGCTTCCTGGGAAAACGTGGGATTTAATAAAGCAGTTTTTATCGAGTACCCGTTAGGTATTTAAAGTGTTCTGACGGCCGGGCGCTGTGGCTTACCCCTGTAATCCCAGCACTTGGGGAGGCTGAGGCAGGTGGGTCACCTGAGGTCAAGATTTCGAGACCAGCCTGGCTAACGTGTTGAAACCCCGTCTCTATTAAAAATACAGAAATTAGCTGGGCGTGGTGGTGGGCCCTTGTAATCCCAGCAACTCGGAAAGCTGCGGCAGGAGAGTTGCCTGAACCCGGGCGGCGGAGGTTGTAGTGAGCCGAGATTGCGCCACTGCACTACAGCCGGGGCAACAGAGTCAGACTCCGTCTCAAAAAAAAAAAATGTTCTGAATGTTTTATTCTCACAACTTAACTATTGGACCTAGGTTTCTGGTGAAGAAACAGGTTTAAGAGAAATGCCTAAAGTGGAAGAACCTTGTTAATGAAAAGGCGTTTAACATTTTAGTGCCACTTAAACATCTTTTTGGATTCCATTCTTCCTGTGTGTGGGACACTTAAATTTCCAAGTGGAGGGGTGATTTATTGACATATTTTTGAAAGCCAAATGTGTTTTTCTGTTGAACTAGCCCCTCAAACCAGTGCCCGACTACATAACTAATATTTTTGCTGGAGTCCAGGAGTGAGGCATTTATAAAGTCTGGGCTTCATGGGAACACATGTGAAGCTTATTGTTCCAGATTGTTCTTTTGTCAGGTAACTTGTGTTAAAATGCAACCTCTTGGCACTCGTTCACTTCCCAACTCAGTAAATGCCGACTACTTCCTCAACTCTTCCAGCCACGCTGGCTTCTATCATGGGCCTATATACTCAAATAGAGTGGAAGCACCAAAGACAGGGGTGTTTGTTTTGTCTACTAAATTATTGCCAGTTACAGGATACAACACAGTAGTGCTTAAACCCTGCATGCAGATTTGCAGATACCAAACATACCAACTAAATCTTACTCCTCATGGCTTTCAGATCTTACTCCTCACTCAAGAACTTCCTGCTGGCATATATGATGACTTAGTTTTTTCCCCGACAGATCGACCATGTTGATCTAACTTTTCTAAGCCAGTTTCTGTCTGATATGCCAGCTTGAGTAGCTCCTTTGTCCCATCTCCCCTGGGCATCTAACTGATGGGAGCTCATTTTTCTGTTTTTTTTTAATTTCAGGTTTATTGTTGGCCAAAACCAGGCTTTGATTGAACCAGGATGAATGCGGGTGTTGGGAATAGAATATATATATACATATAAAACCGGTAAGTGGTGCCAACATGTCTTCCTTGGCTGAGTAGACATAGGCTCTATGAAGGGGGTTGTAGCTGCTTTTCAGTGTGGGTTTGTCACCCTACTTCCTGTATGACTCAAATGTGGCCTTTGCAGCTGATGATACAGCTTCTTTCCCCATCAGATCGACCCTGTTGATCTCTACACTATTGGCCAGTTTTGTCTGATGCATTGGCCCCAGTAATAACTCATATCTTTGTTTTCTGCTTATCTTTATCAGAGATTATTGCTTGTTCATGGGAATTGGGCTTCTCTTTTTTCCAGCATTCAGATGGCTTATTTTGATCTATTAACTTTCTATAGGTTGGGAGCCACGTGCACCAGTGTGTTGATCTTGGCTTGATTCAGTCAGGTGAGGTTTCTGCTTTCTAGCTGTCAAACCCCACAGCAAAATTCGTCCAACTGGGCCTAACTTCAGGACCCATTTCCAAGTTGGGTGTAAAACTGGAAGAATAAGTCATTAGGACTGACATTGGCCTGTTGGTATTAATAGGTCTTTGTTGGAAGTAAGAGCTTGGAGTTGCAAAGAAAACAAGCACTGGAACACAAGATTTCTCAGCAAGGCAAATTTACTTCTGCTGGAGGGTGTTGCTAGCATTCCTGGCAAGAGCACACCGAACAAAACAAAAGAGAGGCATTTTTTTATCCCTAATGCAAGTAGTCCCTGTTTCTGTGTTCTATCCCCATTGGCTGGAGTCTACAGCACAATCTAAACTAGTCCTGATTGGCTATTTTAAACAGGAGGGGTGTAGGTTACAGCTGTGGGAAGGGCAGGAAACTTGTTTACAGAGCGGGTTGCTAGGAGTGAAGGGGACTTTTCCAAATAAGGAACAGGATACAGGTTGGGCTTGGCCAGAGAAGTTGTTTATAGAACGGGTAACTAGGAGCAGGCAGGTATGAGGAAGTTGACCTTAAGAATAAGGAAGAAGCCCATTGTATCTAACAATTTCCCCCTTTTGATTTTTATAATTCTTTCTCTTGAGACTTTTTTAGCATGTCTTTGTTCCTCTTGGTCCTCAAATTAGAAACTTACCTGAATAAGGCGAGGAAGGATTGAGGAAGATTTTGGTGATAGCTGTTCAAATAAGCTTTTGTATTAATCCTGAGATACAGGGTATGATACAGCCTCCTGCAAGAATGAGCTGATGGCAAGAGAGGTGATGATTGAGGACGTAAATCCTTTCCATTTGCCAAACGATTTTTCCATTAAATTCGTGAAGAGGTCGTTTATTCCAGAATTTTTAGCTAGCTTATTGGATAAAGTAGTAAGTCCTTGTGCCTTTGTTATGGTTCCATCAGGAGCAGTATTATTAGGGATAAAAGTACAACGCTGGGTTCCAATCATGACACAAACTACACCTTTCTCTGCTAGTGTCATGTCTAATGCTATTGTGTTTTCCCGGGCCATTTGACTGGTGGGCCCTAATTGTTCAGCTATTCCCTTAATAGCATCCCTAGTATAATTAATGAAATGTTGCTGGCTTACCTTTTTTTTTTTTTTCTTTTGAGTTGGAGTCTCAATGTCGCCCAGGCTGGAGTGCAATGGTGCAATCTCGGTTCACTGCAACCTCTACCTCCCGGGTTCAAGCTACTCTCCGTCCTCAGCCTCCTGAGTAGCTGGGCTACAGGCGTGTGCCATCATGCCTGGCTAATTTATTGTATTTTTAGTAGACATGGGTTGTCACTATGTTGGTCGGGCTGGTCTCAAACTCCTGTCCTTGTGATCCACCCGCCTGGGCCTCCTAAAGTGCTGGGATTACAGGCGTGTGCCACTGCTCCCGGCCCAATCTATTTTTATTTAGAGTTGGCCACCAGAACAACATGGATTCAAACCTTGTAGCTATTTGATTTAGGGCCTTAAGTTTATCTGGTATCTATATAAACATGAGAGTCACGAGGGACATCCATTGTTTTATGATGTTTTGTTTTTATGTTTTATGTTTTCTGGTTGAAATGCCAGGGTGAAAGGGAGTAGCCAATTGGATTAGAGCACAAGTGCCACTCCAAGTTACTTGGCATAGTATTCAGTAATGGTCCACCACAATACCACCATACATCTGCTAGAGGATGAATAAGGGACGACTGATTGATAAGCTCCTGGAAGGGCTTAAGCTCACTGCGTCTCGTTAGGTCTCCAAGGAATGCCAAGTTCTCCCCCTGTGAGAGAGACAGGTAAAATTGGCATTGGAAAGAGGGATGCTGGATAACCCTCGGGGGCTGACCTGCAGGGTGTCGGACTTCAGGGAACAGCAGCGAGTTTGGCATAGCTTATTGCCCCAGGCTGTGGGGTCTTGGAAGAGAGCTACCATGCAACTCATGCCTCAGCGGCTGGAGGGCCATCTGAGTGGAAAGGGGACAATCTGGGGCTCTGGTTTACCATGTGCATAAGCATAACAATCGCTTTGTTTAGAGAGTGGACAGAATATTTAATCCATTTCACCCAGGCATTTGCATCTTGGTACCCTGTTACAGTTGGTAGAGTTTGCTTTAGATCTTTAACCTCTACAATGGTCACTTTGGTTTTGTCATTGGGTGTTTGTTTAGAGGAAGGGGATGGAGGAGCAATGAAGCGCATTTCGAAAGATCTCATGGGGTCTATCCCTAATGTTGCAGCTCCCATGCGAGGGTCGTGTGAGGATTTAGAATTTATCTTGGAATGGCAGATATACTTTTCTGAGGAGGCCAGCTGCCTCTGGTTTTGGAGATCCCCACAGGGTATGACAAGACAGGCATCAAACGTGATTGAGGTGAGCTTGATCTAGTTACATTAATGATAAGGTGGCTGACGGTAGAGAGGAAAAAAGAAGGCAGTATAAGAGGGTTAAAGTTTTCTTAGCTTTAGGTTGGTAGAAATTGGTCCTGGAACAATAGCGCATGACTCTGAAGATGGCGATCCTCTTTTGACTCAGGTATGACGGGTCCACCCCTTTTCGGCGGTTCGGGCTGCTGTTTCAGTTGTTAGGAGTACTAGGTATGGTCCTTTCCAAGCTGGCTCAAGTTTTCCCTCCTTCCAGCTCTTGATGAGGATGTGATCTCCAGGCTGGTATTGATGTGCCAGGAACTGTAAAGGTGGCATCTGTGCTAAAAGACCTTTAGTTCTGAGAGAAGAGAAAGTGGAAGATAAACCAAGTATATAATTTGATCCTTTGTTTCAAAGGTAGGAATGTCAGTAGTAGAGTGTAAATAAGGCAGTCCTCTCATAGAGAGGCCAGTATCTTTCCGAGGGGCAGTCCTGATTTAATTAGGTGAATCTGTAAACCCTTGGGGTAGGACTCTGCATTGGTACTGCTGCTTCCATCCAGAATGAGGATTTTTCCCACTCAAAAGTACATCTCTTGTCTTCAGCCAAGGGGCATGCCCAGAAGGCATCTTGTAAATCTATTACTCTGAACCATTCTGCTGAGGATGGTGTAAGGATTGGGGACAACAGGGTGGGTAGTCTGGACTATTTGGTTGATAGCCAGAGATCTTGTACTAGTCGATATGACCTGTCTGATTTCTTTACAGGTAATATTGGGGTGTTACAGGGGGACATAGGGTTCAGGGAGTCGTCCTGAATGAGACCTTCAACTCCAGGCTTTAAGCCTATTCTGCCCTCTAGGGGAATGGGATATTGCCTTTTTCTTACTGTTTCCCCTGGGGTCTTTAGCTTTATATGCATTGGAGTGACTTGAAGTCTTTCCTGATTTTTTTTTTTTTTTTTTTTGGAGTCTCGCTCTGTCACCCAAGCTGGAGTGCAATGGTGTGATCTTAAGCTCGCTGCAACCTCTGCCTCCTGGGTTCAAGCAATTCTCCTGCCTCAGCTTCCTGAGTAGCTGGGATTACAGGCGCCTGCCACTGCGCCCAGCTAATTTTTGTATTTTTAGTAGAGATGGAGTTTCACCATATTGGCCAGGCTGGTCTCAAACTCCTGACCTCATGATCTGCCCATGTTGGACTCCCAGGTGCTGGTATTTCAAGCGTGAGCCAGCACGCCCAGCCTCCCTGATTTCTTTTTCCTGCCCGTACATCAAGACAAATGTATTTTTCTTCTGTGGTGGTAAGTAGATTTAATGAGATGAGGAATCTCTCTGGGCCAACATGTGAGCCTATACCTAGTTTTAGCATTAAGTCTCTTCCTAATAAGTTAGTTCCAGCCTCAGGGACTAACAGGAATTTAACATGGGCTGATCGAGTTTTGTATTTGATCTCTGTCTTTTTAAGATTTTTGCTTTAAATCTTTTATCCCTGAGATAGAAAGTTCTTCTGAAGAATAGGTGATGGGAGGGAACAGGAGCGAGTTGCAGCTGAATCTGTTAAAAAGGTTGTAAGTTCACATTTGGGTCCCACCTCTAAATTTATCAAGGGCTCTTCGTGGGATGCAAGGTAAAAGAGACAGAGCCTCTGACCTCCCTGTTCTTCCTCAAAGGCTGTAAGTGGAATGATATTTTTTCTCTTTTTCCCATTTGGGGCATTTTGAAGTGACCTACTCTTCCACATTTGAAACATTGTTTTCCCCTCTTCCCTGTCCTGCACTGTGACTTCCAGGTTTTATTCCCTTACTCCTTGTATAGAGTTTGGTTGCTGGTGGCCTAGAGGGTTTATAAGTTTTACTTCCTTGTGTCTCCTATTGCAGAGCTCCCTGTCGTAAGGTAGACAGCATGATTTTTGCCTTTTGTTTCTGCTGTTCTTCGTCCCTATTTACATGCTTCTCTAAGAAGTTTGTCTCTGGGACGATCTTTCCAATTCTCTATCTTTTGTAGTTTTTTTAGGGATGTCTGGCCAAAAATCTTAGTAGCAAAATGAAGCTTTAGCATCCCTTGTCGCAGTGGGTCTTCCATTTCTAAACCTGCATATTGTCTCATCTGTTCTTTAAGCCTATTTAGGAATTCCATGGGTCCTTCATCCATTCCTTGTATGTTGAATGCTCAGGAAATATTCTCAGTTCAGGATACTGACTCCCAAACTCCCCTGACTATCGTATCCCTAAGGTCTCTCATTTTCTCGGTGAGCTGCGTTGTTACTCCACTGGGATTTTGGGCTGGGAATTTTTGCTCTGCAGCAGGAACATTTTGACCAGTAGGGTGTTCATGTTCCCAGACTACCATAGCAACCCTATGGATCATAGTTCTTTTAAGAAGGAAATGCCTAAAATGGACATAAGCTTGGCCCAACCATACAATTGGGGTCCTAAAAATTGATCAATTTGATTTTCTACCTCATAAGGGTCATCTTAACAAGGGCTTGAGTGTTTTTTTAGATTTGGGACTTCTGAGCTGGTTAAGGGGGCATTTATGACGCTGATGCCTCCTCTCCCAAGGGGAAGAGTGTTGGGGCCGATTGGCTATGTTAAACAGGAGGGGTGTGGGTTACAGCGGTGGGAAGAGCAGTTTACAGAGCTGGTTGCTAGGAGTAAGGGGGACTTTTCCAAATAAGGAACAGATGCGGGTTACAGGTTGGAATTGGTGGGAGAAATGTTTACAGAATGGGTAATTAGGAGTGGGAACATATGAGGAAGTTGACCAAAGAACAAGGAAGTTAAACTTTGAAGAGAAACCCATCATACCTAACAGTCTTGTAAGAAAGGATGACAGGCCGGGCGCGGTGGCTCAAGCCTGTAATCCCAGCACTTTGGGAGGCCGAGATGGGTGGATCACGAGGTCAGGAGCTCGAGACCATCCTGGCGAACACGGTGAAACCCCGTCTCTACTTAAAAAAATACAAAAAAACTAGCCGGGGCGAGGTGGCGGGCGCCTGTAGTCCCAGCTACTCGGGAGGCTGAGGCAGGAGAATGGCGTGAACCCGGGAGGCGGAGCTTGCAGTGAGCCGAGATTGCGCCACTGCAAAAAAAAAAAAAAAAGAAAGGATGACAAAGTGATAGAACATTGGGTGGAGCTAATTTTCCCTGGCCAATGCACTTAGATAAGGAGCTCCAAGTTGTATTTAAGTTGGGAGTCAATTTACTTAATTCTTGTGAGGTTCAGGTGTAAGATTCCTCATACTACTGCCATGAGCCACCCTAGCTCCTTGTTACATGGGCCTGTTAACATGGCAGCTTTGTCAATGAGCGAACCCGGGAGAGACAGACATAGCAGAGACAGATGTTTGAAATCTACACCTTCCACCCCCTTTAAAGAGAAAGTAACACCACTCCTTTTCTGTGTCCCTTGGGGACACTGCCTCCATGTCTGGTCACATGGCTGGAATTTACAGCAGATAAGCATACTGCGGTCTGAGACATGATTGTATGCTTTCCTTCTGCTGACCTTTACAATCACTCAATAAATTGCATTAACACAGGGAAGTTCTTTCACCAAATACCTGTGTTGCAAAGCTTGCCATCATAGATGAGGAGTGGCTTGTGATAATTCTCCAACTTTTACATAAAAAAACCAAAACCTCAAAAAGAAATTGTAGTTCATGTCAGTTAGTGATGATTCATCTTAGAAGTATTTTGTTTATGGATGTATGAATGTGCATAGTTCACTGAAGTCCAACATTCATGTAATAAGACTTCTTGCATATAAAATGACCCTCTAAGATGTTAAATAGATCCTAAGCCTGGTATAACTTTATTAAAGTATCCTTATTTGCCCCTAAAATGTCTTTAGTACACATTACTTTTGGGTTGTCTCTTGAATGAACACAAAGGTATCCAATTTCTTTTAAGAAAATGGGGTCTCTCCAGCACCCAGGCTGGAGTGCAATGGTGCAGTCATGGCATACTGCGTCCTTGATCCTCCTGCCTCAGCCTCCCAAGTAGCTGGGACTAAAGGCACACACTGCCATGCCTGGCTAATGTTTTACTTTTTTGTAGAGTTGCAGCCTTGCTACGTTTACCCAGGCTGGAGTGTAGTAGCTATTCACAGGCATGATTGCTTGAAACTCAAGGCCTCAAGGGAAACTCCCACCTCAATATCCTCCGTAGCTGCAACTACAGCCACACACCCCACTGCTCAACTTCTCATCCTTTAAAAGATTTTTACTGGTAGTGTCCTCATTCTGGGTTTCTGTCTTCTGTGTTTACTGTGACATGAAGTCATTTTTAGATGAAGGTTAAACGTTTTGCCAACACAGGTACAATATGGGATTCAATAAAAGTACAGAATTAGTTGTCTTATTAGAGACTGGGAAGTTTCCCTGCTCCTTTTATGAGTACTTGGCTGTACCGATAAAGGGGATGGGCTTGGAGTGACCAAGTCTTAGTCACATACATATTTTCATACCCTCAATAGGAAGCACTGTAGACCAGAATGGAGCATTGATTGTAATCCACCTTCTTTCTTAGAAACTGGCGAAGGAATATGAGAGGAGTCCTCTGGAAAGAAAAGAACAGACCCTGTGCTTTCATGAAAGTGAAGATCTGGCTGAACCAGTTCCACAAGGTTATTGTATACATAGCCTGGGTTTAAAAGGCTATGCCCACTTTGAAGAATGTCATTGTTAGACTTTGCTGAAATTTCTAACTGCCTACCTGGATAAAGAAAATAAAATCTTTTAAATCAAAATGCTGTTTGTTTGGCCATTGGAGATAACCATTGAACAGGAATAACAAGTAGTAGTTGGGTATTTGCAGTTTCATTTGGTTTTAGTTTTTTGAGGGGAAAATCACCCTAGTGGGTAGTTGGTTTCTGTGGGCAAAGCATGGCTTTCCACAGGTGTTAAGTGCCTCATGATTGGCTTCTGCATTGGAAACCTAAGAATAAGCAAGCACACTTGGGCCAGAATTCGAACTCCAGGGGCAGAGAAGCAGAGGGTCAAACAAAGGTATCTCACTTGTATGCTTACACCTGTGCAAGATTGTATATGTTAAATCGTGGGTATTGGGCCTTAATGGTTGCATGAGATGAGTAACGATGATTTGGGCTATGGTATTTGTGTTTATAAACTTCATAGAAAATTGCAAATATAGGCTGTATCATTTATCAGTGATGATTTTTTATTTAAAATAATACACACTGAATAATTTTTAAGTATCTTAAAATATCACCTCAAAGATGGGACCTCTAAATTTTTTTTTTTTTTTGAGGCGGAGTCTCGCTCTGTCTCCCAGGCTGGAGTGCAGTGGAGTGATCTCGACTCACTGCAAGCTCTACCTCCCGGGTTCACACCATTCTCCTTCCTCAGCCTCCTGAGTAGCTGGGACTACAGGCGCCTGCCACCACACCTGGCTAATTTTTTTTATTTTTAGTAGAGATGGGGTTTCACTGTGTTAGCCAGGATGGTCTCCATCTCCTGACCTTGTGATCTGCCCACCTCGGCCTCCCAAACTGCTGGGATTACAGGCATGAGCCACTGCGCCTGGCCTGGGACCTCTAGATTTCTAAAATGGCTCCTGGTATTGACTCAGAATCCCCTCCCCTTGACTAAGCTGGACCTAGTGTAACTTCTGAGTCTTACTAGCTCTTTTTCTTATTCTCCTTAGCTTGCTCACTTTTTTTTTTTTTTTTTTGAGATCTCAGCTCACTGCAACCTCTGCCCCTTGGGTTTAAGCAAATTCTCCTGCCTCACCCTCCCAAGTAGCTTGGATTACTACGCCTGGCTAATTTTTACATAGTTAGTAGAGGGGGTTCACCATTTTGGCCAGGCTGGTCTTGAACTCCTGACCCCAAGTGATCTGCAGGCCTCTGCCTCCCAAAGTGTTGGGATTACAGGCATGAGCCACCACGCCTGGCCTAGCTTGCTCACTTTTAAATAAGCTGCCATGTTGGGAGAGGCCAATGTAGCAATCAACTGAGGGTGAACCATTAGTGTGGGAGGAGTAATCCAACAACCATGTAAGTTTGTAAGTACACATGGTTGTTGGATTACTTTCTATAGTGGAGGCTTGATGAATGCCACCCCAGCAGACTTCTCAGAGATGCTTGTGGGAAACCTTGAAACAGGACCCACCCAGATTGTGTGTGGATTTCTGACCTATGGGAAATGTACTTCAAGCCACTAGGTTTTGAGATAACTTGCTACAAAGCAGTAAATTCACAACTCTGTAATGCCCACTCTAAAGGTCCTGACATGGGCATCTCCATTACCTTAGTCATTACCTAAGTCATCTCCATTACCTAAGTCTACTTCAGTTTCTCTGCACAGCATTTGAAGCATTTATGTCTGGCCCCAATCTGCATTTTCATACTTAACATGCATTTGACTTAACATGTCCAAAACCAGATGCCTGATGCTTCACTCCCCTAACCCCCTTCCCTACAAGTCTGTGCTTCCTATAATCTTCCCTTCCCAGGTATTGGCAACACCAGCAGTCCAGCTGGTCAGGAGCTATGGAATCAACCTCATGTACCATGTGAATCCCTCAGCAAATCCTATTGGTTCTACCTTCAAAATACGTCTGAAACCCACCCCCTTAGCATCTTCATTGCTACCACCTTGGTACAGACCATCAAACAAGCTTGGAATACTGGTCTCTACTTCAACCTTTGCTCCCTACAGTCAATTCAGATGGAACCAGAGCGATCTGTGAAAACCTGAATTAGGTATGGAGCTCTTTGCTCAGAAGCCTCCAGTGTCTCCCCACCTCACACAGTAAAAGCCAAAGTCCATCAGGGCCTACATGACCTTCCCCTTCCCTTAATCTCCCAACTTCATCTCTTCCCTTTCAATCTTAGCCACGTGGGCCCCCTGACTTCTCCATTCCTTTAGGATTATTCCAACCTCAGTATCTTAGCACTTGTTTTTCCCTCTGCCTGGAATGACCAGCCCTAGACCTGCAGAGCTTTGCATGGCTGTCTGCCTTGTGTCTTTCAGGTATTTGCTCAAATATCCCCTCTGGGGAACCAATCATCTTCCCTATCACTTTCTATTCCCTTACCTGGTTTTTAATTTTTTTAAATAGAGACTCTATGTTGCTCAGGCTGGTTTCAAACTCCTGGGCTCAAGGGATCCTCCCTATTTGGCCTCCCAAAGTGCTAGAATTACAGGCATGAGCCACCATGCCTGGCCATGTTTTTACCTACTGCCTAACACATACTGCCTATGCGTATGCTATATACATACATGTGTATATACATCTGTATATGTGTATAGTGTGTTATACAGCTGGTAAGTGGCAGAGCATGCATTTGATTCTGCCAGTCTGGCTCTTGTATTTCTGGGGTTTTTGTAGACGGAGTCTTGCTCTGTCCCCCAGGCTGGAGTGCAATCTCGGCTCCCTGCAACCTTCGCCTCTTGTGTTCACACAATTCTCCTGTTTCAGCCTCCTGAGTAGCTGGGATTACAGATGCCCGCACAGTGTGTCTTAATTTTTGTATTTTTAGTAGAGGTGAGTTTTCACCATGTTGGCCAGGCTGGTCTCGAACTCCTGTCCTCAAGTGATCCACCTGCCTAGGCCTCCCAAAGTACTGGGATTACAGGAGTGATCCACTGTGCCTGGTCTGGCACTTGTATTTGTAACCGTTGGCTTAATTGCAGCATGTTACTTAAATGTAGTCTAATGGATACAGGAAGGAGATAATTTCTGGCTCTTAAAAGCTCAAATGTTTTTGCTGGATTTCTGTGTTGATGAGATACCACGGAGGTCAGAAATGGCCCCAAATACCTGCCAGCCAAGGGCCAGCTTCCTGGAGAACTCCCAGCCACACCTATAGTCTCAGCTTTGCTGTTGCTTTTTTGAGCTCCAAGGTAGTTGTAGGCCTCTAATGATCAAACCATTTGCAACCCGTCTCTAGCTTTAGCTCCCACGAGTCCCACCAAACATTTGATGCTTCAGTCTAGTTTTAGCTCTTCGTCTTCTTGACTGAGGAGTCCTTTCCTTCTATAAGCTTCAGTTTCCTCATCTGTGAAATGAGGTTTATTGGGGGCTTGCCACGTGCTGATACTGTGCTATTACCTTATTTAATCTATACCCCAACTCTGTTACTACCCTATTTTATAGATAGGAAAACAGGCTCAGGGAGGTTTGGTGAGTTCATACACCTTGAAGGTGGTTCTTGGAAGCTGGGATGTGAACCAGTACTATCCTAGGCCCCTAATTTGTCAGGGCCTTTGCTTAAGACCCTCACCAACTGCATGGGTAAAAGCACAAGCATGGCCAGGCGCAGTGGCTCACGCCTGTAATCCCAGCACTTTGGGAGGCCAAGGCGGGCAGATCACGAGGTCAAGAGATCGAGACCATCCTGGCCAACATGGTGAAAACCCGTCTCTACTAAAAATTAAGAAAATTTCTCTGGACAATGGTAGCATGCGCCTGTAGTCGCAGCTACTTGGGAGGTTGAGGCAGGGGAATCACTTGAACCCTGAAGGTGGTGGAGGTTACAGTGACGAATTGCACCACTGCACCTGCAAGCCTGACAACAGAGTGAGGACTCTCATCTCAAAATAAAAAAAAGAAAAAAAACCCCACACAAGCATTTCTGGGAAGCTGTGGGAAAAAATAAGAGATTCACAATGTCTTCGAATTTTAGGGCGAGAAGTGGGTGTTGTAGTTAAGTCCTCCTACCTCCACTATACGTGTTTCGGGAACATAGGAGTTTTACAAACGGTTTGGGAGCTTGGGTTGCTTATTCCCAGCTCCTGGCAGACAGCAGTAACTTCCCCAGATCTCCTGTCTATAAAAGTGGGATAACAGTCTTTCCTCCTGGAGTTACTGTGAGGATCAAATGAAAATGTGTCCTCTAAATGCTTGGCCACAGGGTTAGGGTCAGTAATAGTCATCTTCATCAGAGTGAAAAGGAATAAACTAGTTGATTGTGCAACAACTTGGATGAACCCCGGAGACTGGACGCTGAGTAGAGGGGAGCCAGCCTCAAATCTCAAAATGGTCACATGCTGTGTTGATTCCATTTGACATTCTGAAAAGACAAAGTGTGATGATGTGGAAGAGATGATGTGTTGCCAGAAGTTAGGATGGTGGCGGATATGGATGTGAAGGGATCGCACAAGGAAGTCTCTTTGGGGTATCATGAGTGCTGTAGTTGGTTACATGAATGTGTACTATGTTTAGATTCAGTATGGCCAGCATGGTGGCTTACGCTTAATCCCAGACTTGGGGAGGGCCAACCCCTAAGGTAGGTGGATCACCTGAGGTTAGGAATTTGAGACCACCCACCCAACATCATACTCCCTCTCTTATAAAATACAAAAATTTTGTAATGTTAATCAGCACTTGGGAGGCTGAGCGGAAATGCTTGAACCTGGAAGGCGGAGGGCTGCAGTGAGCTGAGATTGCACGATTTCACTCTAGCCTGGGCAATAGAGTGAGACTCCGCTCAAAACAAAACAAAAACAAAACCCAGATTTATAGAACTGTACAGCAAAATTAAAAATAGTTTGATTGTATGGCAATTTTTTTATTATTTATTTTGAGACAGGGTCTCTGCTCTGTCACCCAGGCTAGAGTGCAGTGGTACAACCACAGCTCACTGCAGCCTTGACTTCCCAGGCTCAAGAATCCTCCTACCTTAGCGTCCTGAGTAGCTGGGACTACAAGTGTGTGCTACCACACTCAGCTAATTTTTAAATTTTTTGTAGAGATAGGGTCTCACTATATTGGTGGAGTTGA